AAAGGTAACAGATACTTTATTATGGTATAGTATTTAAGTATATGCCTGAGAAACACATAATATTGCCCCTTTAATAAGACTCTGCTTCTTTGGGAGTAAAGTTTGTGTTTTCGCTTGTGACCTCTCTTAAAGGGAAGCTCGACGAAGTGTTTGGTTTACTTGTGGAYGCAAACCCAAACATGCTGGCGTACAAGAAGGAGGACGTTCCCCTGCGCTTCCATTATCAGCACAACACCAGGATCATGCCCATCCTCTTAGAGGCCAAGGAGGGTTGGACCATCATGCAGAACCGGAGTGGACCGTTCATGCGTACGTTTACAGACACCGTCGAGCCGCGCTGAGAACTGATTCTGCTTTGTTGCTCTGCACGCTGTAAAAAGCAGCTCTAATAATAGCTTCACAGGTGATTTATTTTAGTCTTCGTGCCWGGGCAAATGCATGTTMTACCAAGTGTAATTAACACACACACACATTAAAACAAGACAGATTAGTTCTCCCTTTGGACCAGCAGAAGTGTGTGGGCTTTATCTCACAGCCTGGAAATGTAATTTCTAATTCAAAGAAATGTAGGAGCTCGTCTTAAGATTAGAAATGTCTGACTGAGTCGCTCTACACTTGCTAATTAAATTGCTTTTTTTCCTTCATGGATGAAAGCTTGGTAATGAAAAAAAATGACTATGTGGAGCCTGCAGCTGGAAGGATGATGTAAAGCTACTTATTACATGTGCGCAGTATGATGCTGTCCTCTTTATGAATTTTTGCTTTTCCTGTGAAGTTGTTTTTTGCCTTAAAGAGCAAAAGGCTTTGATCGTAAACCTAGGGTTACTAATATTATTGCTCCTTTCTTCACATTGAAATTAAAAGTAGTCGCGTAAAGGGACTGAAGCATTTTGACGTGCAGAGCGTMAAATTTAAAAGTATTAGAATAATTGACTCAAAGCCTCTTTTATGGAAGTGCAAAACCCAAATAAATTCATCAAAAGCTTTTAAAAAGAGCAGCGAATTTAGTGTTTGAGAGATTTTTTGAGGAAAAGGAGAACAAAACAACACACTATAACGTGTCAAAATAAAATAAAACCCACAGAAGAGAACAGCGGTGAGCGACAACAGGATCATGTTTCTGATAAAAAAATATCTTCATAACAAACATCAAGATAAAGAATTCTATCTGGGAGATACCCAAAACATACCCAAAAGTGTGAACCAGCTGTTTCTTAATCTAAATACTAAATTGGACTTTTTAAAAAGAAGAAACAACAAACAAAAAGCATGTTTCTGTTACACTTTTACATAATCAGTATGTCCGAGCTACAGTTCTTCTGCTAAAAAAACAACCAACAGCAGCAGTTTAAGTGAGGATGTTAAAGACATCCCTGATTAGTTGTAACATTAGACTTTATTTGATAAACAAATATTTTAAATGTAAAATAAAAACTGTAAAAATACTGTAGGCTGTTTTAGTTTTGTAAATTTTTAAGAATCAATTTTAACACGGACGGAGCCATTTTATTTACACAGAAAGCATTCTGAGTAAACGATGACGTGGATAGGTCCTCATTGTGAGCGAGCTATATCCACCCTGAAGGTTAATCTTGGA